CCCCCCCCCCCCCCGTCGCATCTATACCGTACTTTTTCGATGCCATCAACCCAGGACGTTTTTTTGAGAAGGCCCTCATGAAGAATCGCCCAAAAGACTCTTTGGTCCAATATACAAGTGCGCCCAGCAGCTTGGAACAGCGAACGAAAATTGCTCGCGTTGTTGGCCTCCTCTCTGTGCATCTCTCTCTGTCCGAGGCAACTCGGTACTTACTGCGCCCTTAGCCACAGCCTTGCCTTCATCAACCTCAAACCTTACGCCCTTCTTTGACATGTGTTGTTGTTCTTACCCTCGCCGTCACGTCTTGGCCTTACCTGCAAACCTAACGCTCTTCCTGGCTCGTCGCTCATGTGTTGTTGCTCTTCTTCTTACCCTCCCCGCCGCGAACAGGCGTCTCCGGACGTGGACCACATCGGCAGCATGGTGGGCGAAGAAGACGCTTTCCCAACCGGGGTAAGCTCGCAAGGCGTGTAAAGAACCATGTGCTGCGTGGTCTCAGATTTATATTACCGCGTGGAACTTTGTTGTTGAGCTCCACCCCGCCGCTTCGCAACAATCCCTTCCCAAACATTCACCCAACAAGAAGAGAAAAGCCTTCCGACCGAAAACCCAACACGAGCGACCCATCGCCGCCACCGCCGTCTCCGCCTCTCCTTCACAACCGCTGCTGTAAGGTCTATCATCGCGTGGCGCTTTGTCTTGAGCTCCGCTCCACCGCTTCTCAAAAAACCCTTCCCGAACAAAAGTGTAATCCGATGAATGGGGTTCTTCCATTTCGAAAAATCTTCCGGAGCAAAAGTGTAGTCAGATGAATGGGGTTCTTCTCTCCAGCACTAGGAAGTCATTCGTCGTGTACGTATCTGAAATCCACCCCCCCGCCGCCGCCGCCGCCGCCTCTCCCAACGGAAAAAAAAAAAACTCTCGCGCAGCAGATGCGGCGCCGCGTGATCGAGCCGCCGCTGGGGTCTAAGATCGGCTACCACGAGCTCGAAGACGAGAAGGAGGATGCCGATGAGGAGTGGATGACAGGGGAGGCTTCGCAGGTCAGTGGGGGCGGCACGCGGGGCAGCAACAACTGGATGCTCAAGGTCGTGTTCCCGATTCTGGTGAGAGGGAGGGTGGGTTTTCCATTTTTTACGGCGGTGGGTTCTTCTTCTGCATTTTTTCTTCGTGGTGTCGGATCCATCCCTATCCACAGACAAGACTTCTTTTTTTTGTGGTTTCGACCGACTATTATAGCTCCGCGATTTGTTGCTGGGGTATTGTAGCCCCCAGTCCGAGGGAAGCTACTTGTTTCGGCTGCTTTTTGGCGGAAGGTTATTCTACACGTCACGATCGGTATCAATAATGACACAGGCAGAACATCGACTTCAATCGACCGAGATCTCTGTATTGTGCACGCTCCCACCCACCCCCCAGCCCCCCCCGGTGGTAAACACCGCCCCCCCCCTCAATATTCTAACAAGTAGATGTAACTGCGTATCAAGATTTTTTGGGAAGGGGGGTAGAAGGATGCTGCAGAGAGAGTTTTTGCGGCATGGGACAGCCAGGAAAGACGGTAGCTATTACTGGGGTTTAAGAAGTGGCCTAAGTAGACGAGAAGTGACGTAGATAGGATACGGAAAACTTTTTTGAGCACCTTTGGCAACTTTAGAAGGGACGATCGGCCATCGGTGATCGTGTCCATGGTCTAACCGCCTAAGGCATGCAAAACATGAGCACGCCCCCCCTCGAGTACGCGTGGCCAGTTGTCTGGAATTGTAACCGCTCAGGCATGCATAACATGGGTTCAACCCCCCTCCCCCCCCTACAAGTACTGACAATTCCCTTGTGCCCCTTGGCAGCTGATCGTGGGCATCATCTGCATGCACAACTGGTGGACAGACGTGAAGTATCACGTATCCAACGCGGCTAAGGCGGTGAGCGATGTGTTCGACAGGCGCGCCTTGCTGGAGGAGGAAGAGGCGGAGGGGCGGGGGCAGGGGAGGTTTTCTGAAGAGGAAGGAGCGGTTTCGGCACCACTTCCGGACAAGGCGAGTTGTTGTTGTTGTTGTTGTTCTTCTTCTTCTTCTTCTTCTTCTTCTTCTCCTTCTTCTTCTTCTTCTTCTCCTTCTTCTTCTTCTTCTTCTCCTTCTTCTTCTTCTTCTTCTCCTTCTTCTTCTTCTTCTTCTCCTTCTTCTTCTTCTTCTTCTTCTTTATGTTGTTGTTGTTGTTGTTGTTTTTGTTCTTCTTCTTCTTCTTCTTCTTCTTCTTCTTCTTCTTCTTCTCCTTCTTCTTCTTCTTCTTCTTCTTAATGTTGTTGTTGTTGTTGTTGTTGTTGTTGTTGTTTTTGTTCTTCTTCTTCTTCTTCTTCTTCTCCTTCTTCTTCTTCTTCTTCTTCTTAATGTTGTTGTTGTTGGTGTTGGTGGTGGTGGTGGTGGTGGTGGTGGTGGTGGTGTTGTTGTTGTTGCTGATGCTGTTGTTGTTGTCGTCGTCGTTGTTCTTGGTCGTGTTGTGCTTCTTGTTGTTGTTCTTGCTGTCTCCACGTTTGAAACCGGTCTCTGCTCAGCACCTTCTACCATCCGTCCTGGTCCACCTGATGGTGTGGATACAGTATGCTCTTTTTTGTTTGGGGTGTCGGCGCATGTAGTTGGTTATCAGGCTCGCGGGCTCTTGTCGAGGGCGTTTCTACACAGAATAGGATTGACTCAAGTTCCTTTATTGAGAGAGAGAGAATTTAACGAGTGGGAGACGGGGGGGAGGTCATGTGGAAACTCGCGAGCCAAGTCCATCACCCCCCAAAACATCCACGTCATCCCCCAAAATCTCGGAGATCCTGGAGGTCTCGGAGATCTTGTAGATCTCGGAGATTCGTATTCTGCCGTGTATACACGAATATTTTGTCGTGCGAGGCCTGTCATGAGCCCACTCCGAATCAAAACCAAACCCTCCCCCCTCGTTGGCTGGTCTACTCGCTACTCGCTCAACAGGCGCTCTACACGGTGGGCCTCGGAGAGACTGGTGCCACCGCGGACAGCCAAGCGTAGCCGACCACTACCTGCATCCCTCCTGAATTGGAAGATTATCTTGCCCTGGGCGCTTGCCGGTGTGGCGGTATTGCGTGAATTGACCGCAATGGACAAGTAATAATCTGGCAAGCTGCTGTTTGTTTTTTTCGGCTCGAGTGCCGTTTTTCGAGTCCAAAGTGGATCTACGGTAGGTGTGTTTTAGAAGAAGAGCGCCTGTGTTAACTTGACAGATGTGCGTTTATAGGGTTGGGGTCAGGGGGATCTGAAGACCTTCCCAATGGAAACTGGGCCGTAGAGTGCTGTCTCTGGTGAACTTCGAAAACGATAGCTGTCCGGGGGCTCAGTGTGTGATCGCGTCTTGGGAGGGAGGAGGGGGGGGGGNGGGGGGGGGGGGGGGGGGGGGGGGGGGGGGGGGGGGGGGGGGGGGGGGGGGGGGGGGGGGGGGGGGGGGGGGGGGGGGGGGGGGGGGGGGGGGCTGAAAGAAGCGCTCCTGCCGGTTGCATGCAGTGTCGTGTGTACTACGAATTCGTCTTTATTGTGCTGTGCTATACAACTAGGTGTAGGTGTCTGCTGTGAATAGCTTCGACGCGTCTGCGTGTGACCTTTCGAGATTGACCGTTGGCGCAAGTGACGTTCGATGCAGGCCTCTAGTTCGTGTAGCTGGCGGGTCCTCATCCATGCTACTTTTCCTCATAGAGAAGATAAACGCGTTGCGCCGTGGGCGGCAGGGCGAGGATAGTGGTGGTACCTGCATTACAGACGTTTCGTCCTTCATCCCTGACCTCATAGGTCTGTCTCGCATCTCAAGCACCAAGTGCTGTAGTGGGCTATGCCCCACAGTTTTTTGTCCGAAGCCTCATCGAGTGTAGAGTCTGTAGAGGATATCAAATGCCATCTGGCATCTATCGTGCATCGATGAACGTGTGCTACGTAGGGTACGGCGGTGGCTTGCTGTGCGAGACACAATCGTGCTGAAGGATCGGTCGCTCTCTCTCTCTCTGTAACATGGGGTCAATGTTCATCATGTCGCCCCATCTCTTGTCTTTGTCTCTGCGTTATGTTGGTACGATATGTTGGTAGTGTTGCGTGTCGAGGCTAACGTCTGTTTGTGGAACACCCGAAAGGAAGCGTTTGATGTGGCAGCAGTAACTGATAAGCCAAAGGTTACCGATGAAATCGCCGTGCTTTGACGATTTATCTGGAGACAGGCGCCATTGCCTTGACGCTCTACTTTTGTAGTTGGTGTCGGGACAGGCGTCATCGGTTTGCTGGTGATGGCAACACCGCGATGTATGTGGCGAATGCGGAACTGTGGTAGACCCGTATTCGCCATCCTGGTGAGGTTTTTGTCCTTGGTTGCAAAATCCTGAAAGAGTGACCCTCTGCTCAGCACGCTCGCCCGCCCAGCCTGGTTAGTTCTGTAGCTCGAGAGGGAAGACTCTGGCAAAGTTCTTGCCCAGTGCGCGAAGGTAACACAATCAGCGCCAGAGAACCAAAATTGATTGATCTTCATGCACAAACAAGGGGTTGGTCGTGGGCTCCCGGCCAGCATTGGACCGTCGAAGCCCACAAACACAAAGAAACAAAGCAACAAACGGCCGTCAGTATCGCACGCCCAACACCACCAGCACTGGTGCTGAGGATACACAACAAATGAGCTAGCTGTTAACAGAAACACTTCATGTTACTCAGAGAACAGCAGCAGCACTACAGGTATGCATAGGTCACGCAATGCTATGACCTCTTGCTAAGCCACAGAAGAACACTTTCGCCCTCTTGCTAAGTGTCCTTGACTCTTCGTCTGTGCATACAGATTGAATTTGATTCGATAAAAAAAAAAAACTACTTCAGTAGATTTCTTGTGATGACACCATTCGATCCGTCACAAGAATTGTTTTGATGGTACAAAAAAAACTTGTATTGATTTCTTCTGACGACGCTATTCGATCCGTCACAAGAAATGTTTTGATGAAAAGAAAAACTTGTGTCGATTTCTTCTGATGACACTGTTCGATCCGTCACAAGAATTCCGTGCCGAAGAGGAGACGGTTTCCCGCCAGGTTCGGCAACGCCTCCGTCCTCTCGGCCGCTTTCTCCAAATCAGCCTTGCCCTCCTTTCTCGTCCTGTACATCACTCTCGCACCTCTGCCTGGCATGAGCCAGGTGATGCCCTCCTGTGCGGCAGTTTTTTTTTGGCGGTCATGAGGGGCAAAGGAACCTACAGCAGTGGGAGGGGGGGATGCCATGGTCGGGCTAAGGTGTGGCCTACCGTCGTCCATCGGATAAAGACACACATGGTTTTTCGTTTAAACAGGGTTGTCCTTAAGCCGGGCAAGCATCCTTAAGTTTGATACCCCTCCTTATGATGTACATTCTGCGAGCCACCATGCCTGTGAAAAAATCGTTGTCCTTAATCGGGGGAGTGTCTTAAAAAAACGTTGTCATTAACCCAAGGATGACTGCAGTCGATTTGTGTGCTGGGAATACAATTCGATGGCCCTTACATATCGGATGGAAAAAAATCCGACGAATATTATCCATACGAAAACCTCTGGTGGGAGACCGTGCGGAACATCCTCCGCATATTATACAATAGAGTATAGCAAGAACAGGTAAATATTGACAGTCCTCGGGCGAAATTTCTGCTTGGTCGTTATCGATTGGTCGTCGCTTGAGCGGATGTGTTGGGCTGCTCGCCACCGGACCGAGCCGTCCCTTGAAGCTTGAAACACGTCCACCCGCAATCATTCAGCAATCTACAATATTCGTAAACTGCAGATATCATTAGTTCAATGCTGTCATTCGTATAGAATCTCCGTGGCATTCTTCCTCGCCAAACCTATTGGCCATGTGCTTGGACAGCCAGCCTCAGATTCGGCATGCTACTCCATTCGCACCAACATCGCTCATTCCAGGTAAGTTTTTTTTTTATCAACATTCCGACGTGCAGCAGAACGAACGCGCATCTCTCCAGTTTTTACTCCGTCGACACCCACCCGTTTGTGACGGTTGTGTGTATATTCAATCAAACGTTGCTGCAACGCACCTTTGATAATAATCTCACGGAAGATGCTAGTGTTGCCCGATCGGTCTCCAAGGTTCGAGTAAACGTATCCAAGTTCTGATTGAAAAAGAAAAACAGGACAATTAACACGGGCAAATAGAGGGTATGAGGGTGGGTTTATGTTGAGAACACAGGCACGCAGAGCGCCAATATCGGTGAATTGTAGGCTCATGGAACAACAAGCGAGCTCGTTTGTTTGGAGTACACGACTGACGCTCAAATAAACGGAAGCACGTTACACTTTATCTCCACACGGATCGGCCGTTGAGGTGTTATGTTAACGTCTGTTCACCCACCGAACACTTGAACGTCGTTTGACGTTACCCTCCATGAAGATCACCCCATGTGCTTGACACTGCGAGCTCAAGGCAGAAGTCCATCGGATGATGAAGAAAAGACTAGACCTTCCCTGGCTGGCCGTTCAGTACGTCTATCACAAGTTCCCAAAACATCTAGACTTTGGACGATTGTATTTTTCTGTGTGTGTGGGAGGTCGACGGAGACAAAGGGCTCCGGACTATGGATATATACATATCAAGGTACCTATGTATCTGTCGTTTGGATGACATACATGACCCTGAATCTTGGGCTCTCTTTTTTTTACTCTCTTTCGAAAAACACATCATTCGGCTCGTGTGTGATCACTCAAAAGCCTAGTATACCATCAGCCCCTTCCTTGGGAAGGAGTCCTGAAGATTATGGATCAATTGCCAATTCTGGCAAGCATGAATACGCCTTGCTGTTGTCTGGGGGAGGAATCCTGATGGATATGAACCAATTGCCAATCCTGACAAGCCTGCATACGCCTCGTACTTGTTGTCTTTTCACACTAAACACCGTTCCGGTCTCCACTCAGCACCTTCTATTGGTCCAGCCGACGCGGACGTCTTCCATGGCCACAGGCCAGCTAGCCGAAGAGGGCGCACCTTTCCTAGACATAAAAGAACGGAGAACAAAAATGAACCCAGACAAACAGCCTCCAAGCACCAAAAAGCCTGCCAGCACCAATGACAAACATCGACGAACCCTCACCCTCACCTGCTTCTCCACCGACATCCCCACCGTACCCCCGGTGAAGCCGAGCCTCTCCTTACCCCCCCTCTTCCTCTTTCCCCACTCCACGATGACCCCGATCGACCCTCTTGTTTGTCCCGGAATGCCGACGATCTTGACGGTGGGGTCATACGGAGCGCAGTCCTCGTCGGGTACCTCGAGGAAGTCGAACCTCGCTGTAGGAATAGAACAAGGCAAGGGTTGGTTGGTTGCTGTTGCTGTTGGTGGTGATGTCGTCGTTGCTGTGTTATTGCCGTTGCTGTTGCTGTTATTGTTGTTGTTGTTGTTAGTGTTGCTGTTGTTGGTGTTGCTGTTGTTGGTGGTGATGTTGCTGTGTTGCCGTGTTAAGGCAGTTGCTGTTGCTGTCTTCAAATCGAAATGTTCGTGGGAATGCAAAAAACTCGACTCCACGGTTGACAAGGCGAAGGGGCACTTAAACTCCTCCAGAGAAAAATGAAATTAATCACCGCAGAAAACAAGACAAGGAAAAAGAATGGTTTGACATTCCATTCCTCCTGCGTTCCCGTTTCCTTCCTGATGCGTCCAAAACCTACTGAACGCTGCGGAAAATGACATCCAGAAAAGGTAGGGCTACATAAACACAAACACAGACACTCGCATGTTCTCCGTATCTGCAGCAAAAGACCAACTAACTTGAGACACAATCTGGCACATCTTACCTCTCGGGCAAACCAGGATGAACGGAAAAATATCATCCCCACCACACACTGCTGAATGCCACAATAGGTTGTCGAATATTCTTACGGCTCGGGAAAACGAGGCTGTTCCATGAATCGCCATCTCCAAAATCCTAGGAAAGGAACACTGATGTATCCCACAACAGATTGATGAATATTCCCACGGCTCGGGAAACACAGGCTGTTTCATGAATCATCCTGTCCACCATGTCCCAGGAAAGGAACACTTCTGTATCACACAATAGGTTGGGGAATACTAATTTTCTTACGGCTCGGGAAACCAGGCTGGTCCATGAATCGTCCTGTCCACCATGTCCTAGGAAAGGAACACTTCTGTACCACACAATAGGTTGTGCCCTTACCCGTGTCTCCAGTAACGTATCCGTCTTCCGGCGACTCAAAGCCGTCTTCAACGAGGTACCAGGGCCCCTTCCCATCCAGCCTCTCTTCCATGATACGCGTCTTGCGGGCTAGGTCCAACCGGTGCAGGATGCGGATCATTCCCGGAAACTTCTTCTTCCATCTCTCGTGCCCTGGCCAGCAAGAGGAAAAACATGCACGTACGCACAAAATATTGCCGTAGGCAAAACGGTCGGGATGTTGCGATACATGGCAAACGTAGGCCGCAAACTGAAACGCATACCGGGAGAAATTAAAACGTGAAGGAGAAAGGGTGACGGTGGCAACCAGACCAAAGAAAACGGAAAGGAACAACAACGAAACCGTGGCGGCGGTGCCGGATTCTCTAAAAACCTGGACGTGGTCCTCAAGCAAACCAGTATTTCTTCATAATGTGCTAACAAAAACGATGCAAGTTTGTCTTAATCAACACTCGAAGCATATAACAGCCCAGGAAAAATAGGTAAATAAACGATGAACTCATGGTGTTAAACGGCCAATACTATCTGTTGTTGTATCTACTCGTCTACGACTCCGAGCAACATACAGCAGGGATGCCTCCCACACACAGTAGTGATATTTTTCCAGGTGAATGTTGCTTGAGGCTTGTCTCACCATCGGCGTTGTCTCTGGCTGTAACGATCATGTACTTCACGTCTCCAAGGGCCGCCACTTGATCCGCCGTCTGCTCCAGGTACCTGGGCATGGGAGAGCATTGACCAGAGGAGTGCCGGTGAGGTTTATCGGATGAGTAACAGACATGAGCGAGCCGTCTGTTCATGGTGCAGCGACAATGAGCAGAGCCGTGTGGTCATACTGTTGCGCCGCAGCAACTATGAGATGTTTGCTCATGTTGAAGCAGCAAGGAGCAGAGCCGTGTGCTCACAATAATGTTGCGCAGCAGCAACTATGAGCAGAGCAGTGTGTGCATGGTGCAGGGACAATGAGCAGAGCCGTGTGTTCACAATAATGTTGCGCCGCAGCAACTATGAGCCGTGTGTTCATGTTGCAACAGCAAGAAGCGGAGCCGTGTGCTCACCATAACGTTGCGCCGCAGCAACTATGAGCAGAGCGATGTATTGATGGTACTGTGCCGCAGCAACAATACAGAGTAGGGTGCAGGTTTTCGTACGCTACAATCTCGCGTCTCGCACGCTCGGGATACTTCCCCCCTCCGCGGCCTTGCCTAAGCACCTGGCAACACCGGCAGAACCACGCTAGCATAAAAACTCGACAGTCAAGGGCGTCTCCATGCAGCCAGCAGCGTGTGCTCGGTAGTTTGCAGAGAAGCGCGTAACAGAGCAGAAAAAAATGCACACTGCTGGTGACGGTGTCGTCTACCAATAGAACACGGGGATCTTCGTTTGTTTCGTTGTCTGTTTCCGACACCCGATGGGGCGGACAAGCTGCGACTAGATCATCGTGACGGTCGACATGGAATGAATAGTAACCTGGTGCGACGCGGTTTCATGTACAGCAGTTGGTGTGCGACAGCCCGCTACCAGAGAGTGAGAGGGTGAGAGAGTGAGAGAGAGAGAGAGAGAGAGAGAGAGAGAGAGAGAGAGAACTGACAGTGAACTTACTGTTGTTGTTGTTGTTGCTGCTGTTCAGTTGTTGTCTTTTATACTAGTATCCGCCGCGGTCTTTGCCCAGTACCTTCTAACATCGTGGTCACAAGCTACCTTTCCCCAAAAGGGTGAAGTGCAACTTGATGAACGCCGACACTAGCTGTTCCCAAGACAAGAGCTGTTGCCACCCCCCCAATTTGACGGAAATCACCTAGGAACGTCGATCATGATGTTTCCCTTGCCCGGCCTCACGATGAGGTACGGGGTGTTGCCCATGGACTCGCGGGTAGTGGGACCAAGCTGGTATATGCCGGGGAGGCGCTCTTCGTCCACAGGTAACGGGAAGCTCTCGAGAGCTTTGATCACCTGGATAACAGAGCAACGGCAAAAAAATATTTCTTTTGAGTTGCCTTTTCGTCACCGCATTGTGTGCAACAGCAAGAAATAAAATGACTTTTTGATTTTTTTTTTCGCCACCTTTTGTGTTGGAATTTCTATGCATCGTTGTTGTGTCTGAAGAAGCCGAAATCAACGCTGACTAGTCGACTGGTTTGGTTTCTGCTTCTATATATTGCACCTAATATCTGGGAATGTGTCCTGTGGTGATGGATTGCGTCCGCGTCAGTTGAGCCAGTGCAAACATAAGAAGGTATTGAGCAGAGGTCGGAACGGGCTTTACAGTGGTGGTGGGAACTCAACAACACAACCCCGACCGTTTGGAGAACTGCTCAAGCATCGGGTACAGACGGCAGCTTCAGCATAGACATGCAGATTACTCTGCGGACGACAGATAGGTACACGTGGAGCAAAGGTATCCATAAGTAGACACCCACCAGAGAGTGCAGCAGGCGACGATCCTCGGAACGTTCAGGGCAACTTTGGTAGGTCGGCCACCGACGAGAACATTTTCCCTAACAATTGTCACCTGTTGGTATGGGTTGGTATCCGGACCCTCGTTGACTCCCCACCCGTTCGACAAACTCTATGCTTGGCCCCCCTCCTAACGTAAACCTCGTTGACGTGACATCAAACACCACCAGCCGACAGCGACAACGACAGCTTACCTGTCTGTCTCCCCGCATGACACGGATTGATCCCGCGGGACACGCGAGCATCGCTTGGAACGCTCTCATTCGGTCCTCCTGCGAAGCAGCACATTGTACGCACACGCGATCGACAAAAAACAAGACGTGCATGAAACACAATCAAGATTTCAACAAACAGAACGATCAAAAGCGCAGGGCCAGACACCGCACGGACAGCATGGTGCTCAACACAACCGACAGCAGCAAGGGCACCGCCCAAGAAGGAGAAGCAGGTACCGTAGGTGACATGGCCTAAGATATCTAACCCCCTGGACCGATAGATCGATTACTCGGCAGCACAAATAGTGGTTATGCCTGAAGTAGGGGCGTTGGAACCGTCTCGTCGAGAGCATCCTGAAAGCGCATCGTTTGATTTATGCATCATTTTTGTCGATGGAGTAATCGGACTCTGAGAATCGGGCCAGGGTATGGTATCTTGCGTCACTTAAGGTATGTACCCCTTCCAAGAAGTGCGTAGGGAATTCTTGCTCATCGTTGAGGTATACACGACAATAGTCCCGCTAGAGGGCTGAACATGCAGCGACAACGCGCAAAATGACTCAAATAACATCGAATCAACAAGGCCCTCACCATAGCGGCACGTGCATGCTGCCGGCGGCAAAGCAACAAGCGCTGTGGTCCAAACGAGTGTCATCATTTCGTGAAGAAAACGACTCGACACCAAGACTCTCGCAAAAACACACATCGAGAACAAAAATAAGATCATACGTCGAGAACAAAACACAGCGGGATAACATGAAAAAAAGAATGATGTCCCCGCACACCTGCCTGTAGCAGTACCGATCTTTGCCGAACCAACGGATACATAGAACTCACTCACTGCACCGACCGCTGTGTTCCTCGCACCTCTGTTTTGGGTTGCGAAGCAACCACAGCGCCTAGCCCCGACCTCTTGAAGGTACGGGGGTCCATCCAGCAGCAGATATCACAGTCCACGCAGCTGAGCGCGAGGGTAGGAGAGAGGGAAAGGGTCATAGATTGAAGGCCATGTAGCTAGTTGCTGATGTCGGAGTTTTGTGATTTCGATGGTGGCATGCTCATATGCGGTCAAGGAAGTGGATACGACAGAGAAAGAGCAAAGTAGCACTATGGAAAGCGTGCATACACGAGGGCATTAATACCTCAGCGTTGGTGTACAGACTTGCGTGCGAGGTACGAAATATGCTTCGAGCGCGTGGTAGCAGTACGAGTAGGAGTAGGAGGGGGAAGAAGAGGAGCAATAGGAGGGGGGGGGGGGGGGG